TTTCGATACTTTTTCAATATGCGTGTCACGACCTCTCAGTATGAAAGAGGCGGCAAAAATAATGCGCATTTGCTCAGTCATAATCTACCCACTGGAAAAAAAAACAATTCATTGTATTGGAACAAGCAGCATTTGTAACAAGAAGCATCCGGATTCTGGATGTTTTGGTATAAGCGGGGTTGTAATTTGCTCGGCGCTGTCAAAGGGATGGTGCAGAGGCTTTTTGCGCGGGTCACTTTCTAAGACTTACTGAGACCGGAAACCGCGTTTTGAATAAGAACTCGGACTTTTACGTGACTATATAAATGCAGACTGTGAGCAGTCTAATCGAAGGGAGGACTAAAGTGATCAGTTCAAATAGCCTGTTCACAGTCCCTCTATTTTCTCTTCGAAGTCCGTCAAGCGCGCGTGATAAAAAAATAAAAAACCGTAGGAGATATATTGACCGCCAGCGGAAGGCGGTACGGGTGGGGAAGAAGAACATAAGCAGTTCTTTATCTTTTTTTCTCACGCTCCGCACTTGTTCTTGCGCGCTCACCGATGTTTATGAAAGGAACGAACAGGCCACACAAAACCATTCACGGTGGTATCAGAAGCTCTAAAAACAACTTTGACATTGTTCATTATATTTGAGATCATTATATTTGTACGTGATGGTAAATTATTTTGCGCGCCGCGCTTTCTGTAAAATATCATTTACAGCGATTAACTAAAATAGAAATTTGACAGATAAAATCACTTAAACGGACTTTGGAGCGCACATGCACCTCATGACATAGCCCCTTTAAGCGTGATTGAGATGCTTTTAAACACCAATTAGCACCCTAGCGCGACCACAAACTTGGTTGTGAGAACCAGGTTTTGTCAAACTGCCGTGTAACATCGCAGTATTTTCCTTATTCTAGAGTTGCTTGAGCAAAAATTGATGTTTGTTTGTTTGTCTTTTTTCCTCCTTTTTTTATCTTTTCTTTTTGAAAAAGAGTAAAACAAGAGGGTTTTAAGGTTGGAATTTCGACTATAATTTGCTTGGCCCCCTGGTTATAATGACGTTTCAAAGACAAAAAACTATTGTCCTTCGATTTCCGATAAAAACGACAGCAAAGCGCGTGTAAGGCTGTACCAAGAGACACTGTAAGACACTGTAACTTGCTCTCTTCTTGCTCTCTTCTCCTTCTGGTTGGTGAACGACAATAGAGACTTATATCTTGGTAAGTGCTCTTATCAACAGTATTTTAGATTTCTTATCAGTCTAGTGCCTTTTGCAACGCCGGAATTCGATATTAATTTCTTTGCATTCTTTTAAGCAATCCTACATCCGAGGGCGTTTTGCCGCTGGCGTGCCGCCGGGCTGTGTGAGAGTTTGCTGTGTCAGTACCTCTACTAGATTCAAGGTAAGCCGAATTCTTTTTCCCCTTTAGTTCATGACATACATGGACTCTAATTGATTTTTAGACTCTGATTTGAGTTGCTTTTTATACAGTAGAAACCTCTGGTACTTGAAACTCTAAAGGGAAGCGTAAAACGGTTCGAGTTAGCGAGGGTTCGAGTTAACAGGGTTATCAGTTAAGTGTATGATGTAGTGCAACTTTACTGATTTCATCACAGGCGGTAACATGATAGGACAACATTAACGTGGCCTGTTCGTTTCACCAACTCAAATTGCCTTAAGTGTTGGTTTTAGTGTTTCTACGCGTATACAACAAGAAGGGCTAATGGGATGGCATCCTCGTTAAAAGAACCAGAATTCGAGTTATCGGCGTAAATTTCATTGATATTTAAATTTTAGTTCGAGGTAGCGGAGAATTCGAGTTGTGCGATTGCGAGTTAACTGAGTATAAATGACTGAAAAGTGGGGTGAAGTCCAAGGGAAATTTGACTTAATTCGAGTAAAGGGGAGTTCGAGTGGTCAGGGTTCTACAGTACAGTTGACTCCCGATAACTTTAAGCCTCGCTACCTCGAACTTCGCGCTAACTTAAACCAAAATCGATTTCCCTGGATTTCCGTCCTACATTTACTGTGATTTTACCCTCGGTAACTGGAACCCTCGATAACTCGAACCTCCCGCTAACTCGAAGTAGTTTTTGTTTCCCTTCAGATCATTTCTATATAATTTTACCCTCGATAACTCGAACCATGTTTTGAGCCCTTTTTTATTCAATTAAAAGTCGGTAAAAAACAGTCTATTGGCGTCCCAAAACGTTGATTTCCCTTTTTCGTTCGAGTTATCGGGAGTCGATTGTATTTTTATTGACATTTGACCCGGGTCGTGTACCGGGTTCAAACAATTTAGTATTCGGGTTTGATATGATGTACTGTGTGGCACGACATTTTTGCGTGGGTTTTGTTTTTGTTGCCTGCGTTTCAGCCGGCCTACGTACTCGTCTAAACCGTTTGTATAGTCTGTCTGCGAATTAGTGCACAACAACTCTTTCTAATATCCTGCAGAGTCACAAGGATATATGTGAGCGTTTCTGATAGGCGGGTTTCTTACGGGTTTCAGGAAAGAAAAATAAACCAGAAGAAATAATTACTCGATATGCATGGAACAGACCAGCTTCATAACCTCTACATTTAGCTAAATGTGAGACTCAAAGCGGCAAAAAAAAAAAAAAATTTGCCAAGTCAAATTGTAGAATACTCCACGCACTGTATAAATTACGCAAAAAGAGAGCAAGAAAAACCTCTGTTGTTCAAGCTACTCTAAGGTCACGTTTAACACTATCACGACCTCAATCTCTCTTGTTACGAGCTATGAGTCATGTTTGGCCTGTCAACACTTAATTCAAATCGGAATAATCAAAAGCTGCGTAATAAACTAGCCGATCAAAAACGCCGACATATGTCCTTGGAACTCTGCTGGATTCGAACGCGATATTGTGCACTAATTCGCAGACGCTCTATAGAGAAGGTTTAGAACGTCCGCGACGCAGGCAATGTTTTTGCGGATTGGCGATTTTTTTTGTTTTGTGGGAACTAATTTTTGCGATTAGGACACTGGTTTTTCTTGCTGGAAATTCCTTTTTTTGGCGATTTTCAGAAAGTACCCAGTACCCAGCATTGAAAATATTTTCGATATTGTTGATTACGTGCACTAGAAATGCATATTATCAAACAATAAGCCGGTATTTCATTGTATACTGCTTTGTTTCTGAAATCGAGACAAGTTGTGATTGAACAGACACGATTTCTTAGCACTGTATTTTTGTGTACCGCATTTAAGTTAGAGAATATTTACTTAGGAGTAAATTTGTGCGGTAATTTTATCAGCGGGAACTTATTTTGGGGGATCGCAGGAAAAATCGCAAAAATTAGTACCCACAACAACATCGCGCCACACAGTGTATATAGATACTTAAAACAAATTGAGGGAGAAATAGTAGCATGTGTACAGACCCCCGCCCCCCTAGAATTTCTATTGCGAGGGGTGCTTGTTAACCCCCTTCCCCCCCCCCCCCCCCCCCCCTCCCACACCCTCCCCAACACACTCCTGTTCCCAGCACCGACACATCTCTACCATATAATACGCACCAAACACTCTTTGTTACACAATATACTTTTGTCACCTTTTCAATCTAAACATAACATCAACCCCCGCCACCAGAGTGTAATACTATATCTACACAACATTGGGGGGAAAAAGGTACGCGGTGTCACCCCCCCCCCCCCCCCCAATTTTTTTTTGGGGGGGGGGTTTTTTTCCCCCCCCCCCCCCCCCCCCCGTGGAATTTCCGTAATTTTTCAACTTGGTTTGGTACCCTCTGGAAAGAATATTTGTGTAAAAAAAGTTGTTGCACTATATTTTTTAATGTGAAATTTAATTTTTCTGCGATAAAATGAAAAAAACCTCTTTTCATTTATGTTAGTAACGTGTCTAATGAACTCGAGGACGTTCCTAGCTAATAATTAACCATAGAGGGCGATACCTTACACTATTGACTACAAGAATAACGTCAACCGCAAATGAACCAGTTACATTTATATTAACGCCACGTGAACTTTTATAACCTCTTCTCAGTTACAACATGTTACAAGAAGACCGTAACACAGTAAAAAAAGAGACCTGAAAGCTTGCTCAACTGATGCTGTTATTTATTAGTAACTCACCAATCTTACTCAGACCCCTTGGAAAAAGAAAAATCATCTGTAAGCGACCCCTCACCCGTCGGAAATTTCCTCCTTTTGGAGCCACGCCCCTCCCCTCCCAATTCCGTTGCCCTCCGTGGGATATTTTCTGGAACTACACAATACGCTTTTAAAAGCCGTATCCTCGAGATTTCTTAATCGAAAAATTCTACTTTCTCGATCTCGACAACTTTGATAAAAAGGAAAGCCAAAAAAAGTGAAAGAGGAAAATCTTTAGACTAGACCAATCGACGAATAAACTACGGATCTAAATTACGTTAACGGGCTGCAACAAAAAGTAGCGCAGGTCGAATACAATGTGACATTTTCGCAATAAATGCGAATAATCCAGTATATAACCTTGCATATATTCTCGTTGTTCTGGAATTATTACGCGGTCCAATGCAAGTGAAAAAAATTCTGCCGGTATTGCAAAAACGCGCCAAATACAAAAATGGGACATACAATTTCGCTTGCATAGAAATGTTGAATCGGATGACTAGGGTAACCTATCCAAGAGATGCAATAATATGCCCTTGAGTTGAACTGCATGATTATATGATTAGAAAGGCTATAATCTGATTATAGGTTATAATCTGTCCAAGATCAAGTTAAGTCAAATCTAAAAAAAAAAAATACATCAGGTTTACTGATGTTGTTGGATTTCGCATCAATAGCGCTAATTGTTGCCCTATTTAACAGTAATATTCTTTTCTCAGCATTATTTTTATAGCAAGCAATGGCGAACAGAAGAAATTATAATCCGCTTAGCACTACGCCAAAGTCTACTATCAATAACATAATATTGGAAGCAAGGGAAATTACCTTTCCTTGGAACTATGTATTTGACTCGAAGGTTAAAGACTGGTTAGAGTGTATGGCCAGATCCAGAAGGGCGCAGCCTGAGTTTTTGGTGGGTCCCCTGTTGGCTATGACGTCTGTTCTAATTGGGCCCCGGTCCGTGATACAGGCCACAGAATTCTTTAAGGAACCATCAAACATATTTACCCTAACATTGTGCGACACTGGCGCAGCCAAGTCCGCAGCTTACAAAATTGCAGTCGATGATCCTTTGACTGAATTGAATGCTGAAATTGGAGGACTGGCTGTTCAGGACTATACACGTAAAGGCCTGATGCAGCATTTGGTACAGCATGGCGGACGTGCCATAATAGTATACCCGGAGATGTCAGAGTTCCTTGATTTAGTGCTAAAGAAACAAAACGACCTGTCAGGGGAACGTCAGTTGTATTGCAAGTTGTTTGATGGATCAAAGTGGACGGATACCCGAATAGGAAAAGAGAGCAACAGGGTTGTGGTAGACAATCTTTGCGTTTCTGTCGGCGGTTTCGCACAGCCATCAGTCTATCTGGACCAACTGATGTCCCTGGTTAACAGAAACGATGGGTTTCTGGAGAGATTTCTGACCTGGGTTGTGAAACCGCATCTCCTGAATTGCGATGAAGTGCGAAACTGGGGCAATCGTTTGCAGAATATTTCCATGCAGCAATTTCAAGGTGAGTACTTTGCGCCATAAAAAGGCATAACATGTGACAACATTTGCTCAAAAAACGGTTTCTCAAAAATACACACTAAGTAATAAAATATACAGATTTAACCAAATAGTTGACGTCAAGAATGATGCAAAAACGAATTTTTACTCATCGGAAGCTGATATATCCCGACAATTATCAAATCAATCGATCAACTATTCAACTTGGGAGCAGAGCCTCTTTTTGTCTTCTTGACTGGGGAATACAAAAAGAAGACTCTGCCTTTATCGGGGCAAGCCTTCGAAGTCGCCGAAGCACGACATTCTGGACTAAAATTTGTCTTCAATTCGAATGAAACTTAATAAATAGGCTTGGTTTATTGCGCTATAACACACACCATCAAAAAAGGCCATTAATATCCTTGTATCGATGATAATACTGAAGAAATTACACAAGTTACTTTTTCCGAATTCCTCTCTACAGATATTTACAAAGTCATCTGGAATAAGCATCAGCAAGGGTGTATTGTCTACGAGTTTACAGATGAAGCATACCAGGTGTTCAGAACCCTTGATTTTGAAGTCACGCAAACCATGAATGAAGCATGGGAGACTGGTGAAGCTGAATTCAGTGTCAGCAAAGACATAAATTATTTCCTGAGGTAAAATTCGTTTTACCGACTACAGCGAGTTAAAAAAAAGAAGAAGAATGGATCTACGGCCAAAGCCTTGTACCTCTTATTAAACGATCGTTCAAGTAGATTTTTATTCCCCCCGTTTTATTGTACTTATTGCCCTATTTTTTCATTCATCTTCATTGACAAAGGATTTTTTTCATGTCGTAGATTCTGCATAAACCTACATGTTTTCAACACTGTGGCAAAAGAATTACTTGACAATAAATCGATGGAGGATATTATAATTCCCCTAAAAGAGGAAAAGGAGACCGCCAGTGGGGCGTTGGCGCTGGTGCAATATTCCCGCGCACAAAAACAGGTGTTTCAAAAGGTACTTCAATTACAAAGAACTTTTTGCCATTATTAAGAGGCCAAGATCAATAACAATTTCGGTTTCTTTTGCTTGTTAGAATGAAGACTATGAAATTCGAAAGAGTTGAATATAACACAAACTGGGCCAAACTTTCATACGCAAATGTACGCAAATGTTTGTCTTTTCTCGTTATAGAATGGGTCCGCCAACTACACTCGCGAACGTTGTGTTTATCAGGAGGGGTCTTGATTACTTCCTCTTTTTAGAAAAGGCGTCTTAATGATAATTATGATGACAATGCTGATCGTACGACGTAGTAAGGGACGTACTCAATTACGTAAGGTCTAAAAAAAACCTAGATAGTTTTTTTTTACGGTATGCAAATATAAACAGTTGTATGTTTTTAATATTTTCTTGATTATAATTGTTTTCTCAGTTTATCAAATCCTCGAGGGAGAAGCTGGCTGGTTCCTCCACTTTGGACAGCACAAAAGCAGAGGAAGTCCTATGTGAACTGGGAAACAAATTAATGGCAAAGTGCAGAGGATTACCAAAGGAAGAGGTAATCATGTTAACTCCACATACTATTGGTCCTTTTCAATAGTTCAAAATTCTGCTGCGAATTCAATAAAGCCATGGCCTGAAACCCAAGATTCTTGCTCGGGGTTGGAGAGTAGTGGGGAGGAGGGCTGGGAGATAGTAGCCAAGGGTTGAACTTTTGGGATAGTGCGTAAATTTGTTCTATAGAGTAATGAAATGACTAAGTAGTCCTGAACGAGTGGGGTCAAAGTATTTCGCGGATCGATAAAAAATATTTATGAAGTCACCATTTCTGGTATCTTAAAGGTTGAAGGGATGATTGGCAAAAATATCGAGGTAGGTGGTTCGTCTACGCTGGGGTGAATCATATTAATGAGGCGAGAAAAATCGTCAGTTATACCTACTCGATTGGTTTAGATAAAGGTTCAAAAGTTTTGTTTTTCTTTTTATAGTAGCCAGGCCTCGAACCCGGTTTACTGTTCAATAATTTTCGTCAACCAGTCCTTAGCACTTGTGATTACATTACTGCCCTTATGTTTGACATCGATACCACAAACCCGTGATTCAGCCTTTATCATTATGGTCCTAATTTTGTTAAATGCTAATTACTTCCCTTCCATTTCAACAGATAGACACCTTTATGCGCCCTATGACGACAGAGGGGAGGCAGACCGTGATAATGGGGAAGGAAAATTTCCCGCTTGACATTAGAGAGCGGGAAACCTTACACGCGATCATTAAGAAACATCCTAGTTGGGGAAGACGAGTCAGAAGCGGCGGATTGGGGGAAAGATGGAGAGTTGCATCTGCATCTATCCCTCGTCTTTCCCCTCTGAAGTTCGGACCCAAATTCAAGAAGGTGAGTTTCAAAGTGAATTGCATGAAAAGAAGAGTTCTTGCAGCAGTCGTGATCCGTTAAGTGGTATTTTTGCTGGTCTTGCTATGATTTTAGGCAGTAGTTTGGGAATTTCCTCGTGGCAAAACGTGTGAAATCTACAGTAAAGCTACGGCGTCTCCTGCTGTCAGTACTACAGACGTCAATTGTGAAACACTTTGACACTATGCATAGAGTTGTAAAAGTGCTTGTGGGAGAAAATGGCTAACGAAACATAAGTATTGACTTACCTGACTAATACTTACTGAATAATTCATTATGCAATTTAAAGTCTAGGGTGAACCAATAATGTTTAGATATATAAATTTTTGTCATAAAAGTCGATAGTTTTCCTATGCACAACAGCCCGTGAGCATCAACCCTAGGCAGAGTATCGCTTGATACACAGGAGACAAGACTACAAATGCATTTTCCCCAAGGTTGAGACAAGTAATTAGTATATCGCTGCAAACATGCATTAAAACAAAAATATGACCAGTTAACGAGAAGTCCTAGATGTACCTCTGTGTCTTACTAGCAAAAAATTTCCGTCATTAGTTATCCTAACATATATCAATCTCTCGCATTTCATTCTCTTATATCTAGTGTTACAGATCACCGGATCGACTTCAGAGAACCACCCCTCCTCTGACAATTCTGCCGAAGACAACCAAATAAACCGATCGGCTTCAGAGAACCAACCCCCATCTGACAATTCTGCCGCAGACAACCCAAGAAACCGATCGACTTCAGAGAACCAACCCCCATCTAACAATTCTGCAGACAACCCAAGAAACCGATCGACTTCAGAGAACCAACCCCCATCTAACAACGCAGACAACCAAAGAAACCAATCGACGCCAGGGAACCTTGCCAAAGACGACAATTCCGCCGCAGACCATGCATTTGAGGTAAGCAGTTGCTTGGTCCCTGTTGTTGAAGATGAAACGGATGACGACTTACTTCTTTCCGCGGAGTGCTGTTCCACGTCAGTCGATGTGGAAGAAATACAGGGGGAACGGGGAGACAAAACAGCCAAAAGAAAGAACACAAAGAAAATGGAGGAGGTGCAATCTGAGAGAAGAAGTAAGCGGAAGAGAGGAGCAAAGAGATTTTAAGATGTCAGAAAATCATTGTCATCATCAGACATCAGCGTTGTCAGCATCAGACATCATAATTTAATTCAATGCAATGTGAACAGAACAGNTGCCGCAGACAACCCAAGAAACCGATCGACTTCAGAGAACCAACCCCCATCTAACAATTCTGCAGACAACCCAAGAAACCGATCGACTTCAGAGAACCAACCCCCATCTAACAACGCAGACAACCAAAGAAACCAATCGACGCCAGGGAACCTTGCCAAAGACGACAATTCCGCCGCAGACCATGCATTTGAGGTAAGCAGTTGCTTGGTCCCTGTTGTTGAAGATGAAACGGATGACGACTTACTTCTTTCCGCGGAGTGCTGTTCCACGTCAGTCGATGTGGAAGAAATACAGGGGGAACGGGGAGACAAAACAGCCAAAAGAAAGAACACAAAGAAAATGGAGGAGGTGCAATCTGAGAGAAGAAGTAAGCGGAAGAGAGGAGCAAAGAGATTTTAAGATGTCAGAAAATCATTGTCATCATCAGACATCAGCGTTGTCAGCATCAGACATCATAATTTAATTCAATGCAATGTGAACAGAACAGTTTAATCAGTTTTCTTTAATTTGATTCGTTGACGAGTTTTTTAACCTCTCACTTCACGAGGAAAAGATTTAATTTTGTTCGGGCAACCTCCAAATAGTTGAGGAGGCTTCTTTTACTCAAAATAGTATTAGGTAAAATATGGATATAAGTGACAACTTGAAGAATTTTCCAGTCCAACACAAACAACATTACTCATTAATCCAAAAAAAAAGCAAACAAACAAACGACAGATTAAGGCCATAAAAATATAAACACGTTTTATATTTTTTTGCGAACAAAAAATTAATAAGAGTGTTGATCTTTCAACCATACTTTTTCAACTTTGTTTATTCATATTTCTCTGAGGTAATTTTTAAAACATTTCATACAGTTAGGATTTATTACTTGAAGTAGAGTTGATTTTGATACTCCGTGGTGAAACCACGCCTCGGAGTATAGTATTATATGAGAAAAAAATAACAACAATAAATAACAGATTTGGAAGTTAAAAGTAATTGATTCCTTTTATGTGATCTTAATTAATCGTAAACTTGTAATCTTGACTTGCATATTTTGTGTACTGCGCAAAGGCCGGTAAAGGGAAAGAAGACGCACACTCGTTCCTAGGGCCCTTTCCTACTCGGCCCCCGTGACGGGAGTGGTGAGAGGGAGAGAGGGGCCGAGTACCAGATGATAGTGAAAGCGATAAATTGATCGAATCGTGTAGTGCGCGACCAACTATACAGCAACAGTTCGAGCCAACTTCGACTATCAGGCGATTTAAAGCTTAAAGCTCAAGCTCAACCCGTTCTTACAGATTGGCCTCATCATTCCTTCTACCTTTTCTTTCTTTGACTTCCACAGCTTCCACCATCCGCAGCATTAAATCCAGGTTTTTCAAACAAGCCCACTTATGTCAAACGTACATTTTTCAACTGCTCCATGTTTTTAAGTTCCTGTCAGTTTCATAGTTGTAATTACTTTTCTAGCCCTTGCAGCGGCAGTTAGTGATATTGTTGGATTCTCTCTACTCATACATTAGAAACAGTTTTTTTTAGTAGTTTTCAAAAAAAGCGCTGTCGGTAAAATGTAAACTAAAAGTGATGCGCTCTAGTTTTTATCTATGGGGCGTTGCGAGAGTTCATTTGACATGACAGCCTGTCAAGCCCTGGTCCAATCACAGTTTCAATAAAAAAAATCAACCAATCAAAGTGCTTGTTTACGTCGTTCGCACGTGCGCTCACCTCTTGTTTGTTTTTTTCTTTTTTTCTCTCCCAACATGTTAGAGATGTAAAAAAATAATCAGAGGATTATAATTTCACATGTAAATGTTTCTTTCTCTCAGCCACGGGCATTATCCTTCGACATACTAGCCGCCGGAAGAGGTTCATTTACTAAATTATCCATGAAACTAACAAACCCAATAAACCATACCATCAAACTACAAAACCTTTGAAACAACGATATATATGAAACCACGAAACCGGTGGAACCAAGAAACCCATGGTGGACGGTAACTTAGTATTTTCAAATTACACCATGGACAGAACTATAATACCATGAAACCCTTGACACCTAGCCTCCCCGCAGACGTCCTTTGGGGTTCGTTTGTCACGCGTTTATTTCTCCCCCACAGACGTCTGCTAAACACAGCCGACATTTACGTTATTGTTTGTTTCAATAAGCCACTAAGCGTTAGTTATTGTGTCACGATCAGCCAATAACGAGCTGTGATACAAGTGAAACGGCACCTACGAATTATTTCTCGTTTTTTTTAGAGGAATATTTATTCCATGCGCATGCATAGATGAGACTCCGAAGAAAGTTATAAGAAGCGAATTTTTTTGTTTTCTTTGTAGCTGTAATTTAGCAAAAGGACTAAGTTCGTGTGTTTGGAAAAAGCGCAGTCGACATCGCAAGGCTCATCAAACGTGCTCTGGACGTTGATGTGCCTTTGTGTACGTCTATGTTTTATTTGCACAGCTGTCTTCTACCTGAGACGACTCAAACGTTTTGAAAAAATCACAGTAATGATGCAATAGAGCTTTAGTCAACTGTATAGTTTTTTGGGAAGTTGTTGTAAGTATAAAATAATCTGCTTTTCTTTGAAAGACTTCAGATAACATTCTCCTACACGAGCGCGGAGCGGTTTTCATCACGGTCAATATCAATTACTATTAAATCTGTATATATTCGAAGTAATAGGAAAAGAGAACTTGTAAACTTGTATACAAAGGCCGTTTCCTTTTTTCCGAATGTAATTCCACCAAGGTCATGAGTCGCGGACCAAGGACTTAAACCAATGAATTAAACAATCGAGGTTCAATAGAAACGGTGGAGTCCTTCCTCACACAAAGCCTGTGGTATAATTCTTTGATTAGAGTTATGGACAAACTGGTCTTCTATAAAAGTTGGTATCAAATGGGCATTTCTCAGGTGAATCAAATCGTTAAGGAAAAACCAAGTACTTTTTTGTCACCAACAGAATTTGAAAAAAAAGTATCATACAAAGGTTTGCCCTTTGACATTCTATGGAATGACATCTACCCTCCGAGAGTTCTGGAATTTTTCAAAAACTACCAAATGTACCACTAAACTGTAAAGAACAAGAGTCTTTCATAACCGCCTTATTAAAATCGAAAAAGCCCAGCAGACTAGCTTATTAAAAACTGGTGGAATTAAAATGTAACTATAAAATTTCTAGTCAGGAGAAATGGAACAAAGTTTTCCCACAAGCCCGTGATTTAATCTGGCAAAACGCATATATGACCGCTTTTAAATGTACCAAAAGCACCAAACTGACTGAATTTCAGTTTAGATTCCTTCATCAAACTTTGGCAACAAACGTATCTTTAGTCAAAATGGGATACAAAGATGACATTAGGTGTTCATTTTGCTATGAAGAAGCGGAAAAATTCACGCATCCACAAAACCTATCAAACCATGAAACCATTGACCCCACGAAACCTATAAAACCATGAAACCATTGACACCACGAAACCCATGAAACTATGAAACCCTTGACACCACAAAACCTATCAAACCATGAAACCATTGACCCCACGAAACCTATAAAACCATGAAACCATTGACACCACGAAACCTAAGAAACCATGAAACCATTGACACCACGAAACGTATAAGACCATGAAACCGTTGACACCACGAAGCCTATGAAACCATGAAACCATTGAAACCACGAAACCTAAGAAACCATGAAACCATTGACACCAGGAAACCTATGAAACCATGAAACCATTGACACCACGAAACCGATGAAACCATAAAACCATTGACACCACGAAACCTAT